GTAATTTAGCTTGATCTTTTTGTATAGTTTAGATCATACTGTATATTCAAATTTGTGGTCTTAATTGTTTTGAAATCTAGCATTGGACCATTTGTAATAGCTCTTGATATTCAGTCTAATGGATGTACCATGATTTATAAACATTCCTTTTTGCTGGACATGTAATTATATAATTTTTTCCATAATTGAAATTTTCAAAAACTAAAATTTTCATATATGAAATTTGAAACTTTTTTTTTTTTGAGATAGAGTCTCACTCTTGTCACCCAGCCTTGAGTGCAATGGCGTGATCTCAGCTCACTGCAACCTCTGGCTCCTGGGTTCAAGCGATCCATCTGCCTCAGCCTCCGGAATAGCTGGGATTACAGGCTCCCACCACCATGCCCAGCTAATTTTTGTATTTTTAGTAGAGATGAGGTTTTACCATGTTGGCCAGGCTGGTCTCAAACTCCTGACTTAGGTGATCCGCCTGCCTTGGCCTCTTAAAGCACTGGGATTACAGGCGTGAGCCACCGCGCCCGGCCTGAAACATCTTGTATTCCCTAACCTGTTAGAGATTATTTCCAGGAGGTTCCCAGAAATGCAGTTACAAGGAAATGTGAACATTTTTAAGGCTCTTGCTACATACTAACACACTGGTTTCTAAAAAGACTGCACCAAATTGCATATGAGCACAGCTTACTAACAAATTTCTGAGTTTTATTTATAATTGTATAAGTAATATCTGTTCTTTATAGGGCATAAAACAATCACAAATTAGAAAAAACATCTAGAGATACTATACAATGTACTATATTTCTCTTTTTGGAACTTTCTGTATTAGTTTTTCAATTTAAAAGCTTAAACTGTTGATAACTATTCTAATACACTCCACCTATTTTACTACATATGCTGCTTCGTAGCCTGCATTCCCCCAACCCGCTCCAAGACAGAGTCTCATTCTCGTTGCCCAGGCTGAAGTGCAATGGCGAGATCTTGGCTCACCGCAACCTCCGCCTTCCGGATTCAAGCGATTCTCCTGCCTCAGCCTCCCAAGTAGCTGGGATTACAGGCATGCGCCACCACGCCTGGCTAATTTTGTATTTCATAGCCTATTTTTTAAACTTAGCAATATATTTGGAACACGTTCTTCTACAACATGACTGAATTAGTTAGTGGTTGTCTAATAATTCATCATATAGCAGGAACTCTGTAACTCTTCAGAAAGTCCCTGATGTGTATATATGCTTTGGAAATAAAATATACTAGATAATTACGAAATGATTAGCTGTTTCTGACAAATACTAAAGCAACTTTATTTTAATGTTGCTTGTTTATACTTGGACATTTGGCATAATACTGGCTCTAAATTTGAGTAGAGAATTAAGAAATATTCTGAAGGATTCACATTTCTAACAATTTTAAACATTTTGTTCACACAATGTAGAATTTAAAACAGTAGTAGAGTGAAAAGAACATGGACTGTGGAGTTCCATCCAAGTTGGAATCCTGACTCCTTTTATGAACTTGAGCAGATAAACTTTTTAATAGTTTCTTTCTCATTCTGACTTGTTTTACAGTACTTCAGCATAAAAATAAATTATGGATTTATTGCCCGACTATTTAATGAATCTCTAAAACAACATTTTTCTACATAGCCACAATATTATCACACCCAATAAGATTATATTTTTAATATTATTTAATGCCATTCCATATTCAGATTTTTCCAATTTTTTTTACTATCCTGTACAACTGGTTTGTCTAAACCAGAGTACAATTCAGGACTGCTGTTTGCATTTGGTTTTATCCCTTAAATCTCTTCTGATCTTGAATGAGCACCCTGTTTAGTGATATTGACTTAATGAAGAGTAGACCCAGTTGCCTTGAGGGTATAATACCTTCTGGATGTTGTGTCTGATTGTTTTTATGTGTAGTCACCTTGTTCTCTCTCCCCTCTATTTCTATGCAAAAGCATTGATTAGACTCAGCATAAACATTTTTGACAAGATTATGTCATAGATAATAAGTACTTAATATCAATAGACATACAATAGCTGGTTTTCCTGATAATTAGAGATAGCTCCTGTGTTCTTCCCCTTTGGACTAATAACTCTGTTTTATTAGTAAGATGGAAGTCATTCTTAAGAATTACATGAGTTGGCGGGGTGCAGTAGCTCACACCTGTAATCCCAGCACTTTGGGAGGCTGAGGTGGGTGGGTCACCTGAGGTCAGGAGTTCAAGACCAGCCTGACCAACATGGAGGAACCCTGCCTCTGCTAAAAAGACAAAATTAGCTGGGCATGGTGGCGCATACCTGTAATTGCAGCTATTCGGGAGGCTGAGACAGGAGAATCACTTGAACCCGGGAGGTGGAGGTTCCAGTGATCCGAGATCGTGGCATTGCACTCCAGCCTGGGCAACAAGAGCGAAATTCTGTCTCAGGAAAAAAAAAAAAAAAGAATTACATGAGTTAAGATGTTACCCATCACACAGTATTCAGTAGATGCAAGCATGCCTTTTCCTACCTTTCTGGAAGTGGGAGCTGGGCAAGGGGATTTCAAAGCATAGATATAAAGTTTATCCTTTTTGGATATTGTCCTCACATTAAAATTCATATGTCAACTTTAAACTTACCTCATTGTAGAGAGGATAGACCATACTTTTGTTAACTGTATACTGTTATATGTTAACATTATAGGTATATGTTAACTGTATACCATACTTTTGTATAGCTGATCCCTGCATAGTGACACCAGGTTAGCACATAAGGGAGATAGCTAACTCAGCCAAACTAGGTGTTTAAGATTTGAAAGTTATGGTGTAAAAATACAATTATTTACAGGTTTGTTTTGATGCTGGTCCAAGGATAGTGGTTCTTAGTTTTCAAACTCTTGTAGCCTATCTTAAACCATGATTGGGGAGTATGTGATTCACTTAAGTGATAAATTATTTAAATGTTAAATAATTTGCAGAGGTTTGTTTGTTTGTTTGTTTTGAGACAGAGTCTCGCTCTGTCGCCCAGGCTGGAGTGCAGTGGCAGGATCTCAGCTCACTGCGACCTCTGCTTCCTGCTTTGAAGCAGTTCTCCCTGCCTCAGCCTCCTGAGTAGCTGGGATTACAGGCGCCCACTACCACGCCCGGCTAAGTTTTTTGTATTTTTACTAGAGATGGGGTTTTGCCATGTTGGCCAGGCTGGTCTTGAACTCCTGACCTCAGGTGATCTGCTCCCCCCTCGACTTCCCAAAGTGCTGGGACTGCAGGCATGAGCCACCGTGCCTGGCGAGAGATTTTTTTAATGTTAAAAACATTTCAAGTCACTGTGTTTATTTTTGGAAAGGATGACATTTATAATACTGATACTTTTAGTTCCCAGTTTTACATGGCTGGTCTTCTGCCTTGCATAGTACTTTGAATAGGTTGAGTTTTTCTAAATGCATAGGTA